ATCAAACGACCAACTTTCCTGTGAAAATTTCGACCCGAAATCAACTTTTTGATTAGATTGCGTTGTTCGGGGGTGCAATACTTTCCATGACCCATTTTTTGAAAATTTTTACAAATTTTGTAAATTTTTTAATTAAAATAGATATATAAACAACAAATCTCATCAATAAGTGCTTTTGAAGATATGTAACTCTGCTAAAAATACAGGTTTTCACTCGAAAAGTAGTAGTGGTGCTATTATTTTTTTCGGCATTTTTTCGACTTTTTTGAGAATTTTTTGAATTATATAAAAACTATGAATATTTTTGTAATAATTCTTTTTTGCCGTAATAACTAATTCATTTCTGCTTATCTGAGTGAAAAAATTACATCAATACATTGATAAATGTGTCCAGGAGAACTCCTCAAACTCTGAATATGCAAGTGGTGCTATTTTATTTTTCGCAGCTGTATATGCTTCTCTTTCCGCTGATTGAACAACCTTTGAAAGTCACCTCAATTAGCGACTTTGTCATGAGCGCTACACAGATCATCCATTTGTCAATATCATGGGTAATCACCGGGTAAAAAGTACAGCTTAGGTCAGACGGCCCTAGCACGTATTTATAATTAATAATGAACATATCCTAGCAACTATAGCTAATGATTAGTTACTGCAAATAATAATAATAATAATGACAGCTTGAAGTGCCGGATTTGTCAATATATATCCATATATCTATAGCAATACTTGTTTAAAACACATCTATTTACAATATAAGCAACTCTTCAGATGGGTAAAACGTTGCGAATCGCATAAAACTTGCAAATGAATTGAAAGTCAACATCGAGTTATACAAAAATTATGAGTCTGTTAATATAATTTGCATAATATATTCCACATTCAGAGATCGCTGCAAAATGATAAAGGAAATTAAAAAAAAAATATGCGAAAAAAAAAGATAAAACAAATTATGTAAAATTGGGTAAAAGTTATAGGAAATCGTATCAACTTTAATCAAGGTATATTAAATATTACTAAATGTGCCTAATTAAAATGTAGCATCAATTTGCAGAGAGATTAAAAATAAAGAGCTTAAGCACGCAAGATTGTTTATTGACTATCATCAAATTTATTTGTTATTAAATACTTTGTTTTTCAATACAAATACAAGATTTACTTTAATCTGCATTGAACAAATAATTAGGCTTGCTTGTTTTACAACTTGTTAACAGTGTCTAAATATTAATTTGCATTTAAATCAATGAATATTCTCTCAAGAGACTAAACAATATCAAAGCACAAGTTCAACAGCCGCATTAAATATAGCATTATGATTAAAACAAATATCTGGCAAAGTCCAAAGACTTTGTAGAGTCCATGTAAATTATTTAGCATAACACGTTGCCATGGACAATAAACTGTAAAAACTAAACAAACGGTAAAAAGCTAATAGGTGCTTGATCTTTTACTTGGCGTTTGACTTTTCCCTCTACTATTTGGCTCTATAAAGATGGCTGAGTGATTATTTGATTATTTACCAGCTACACGAAAATAATTAATTTGCTTTGTACGAGCCGCGCAGCGAAAAGGAAAAGCGTAGTGAAAATTGCATGCAAGGCAAAATAATTTGCAGCAGAAAAAAAAATAAATAAAAATAAAAATTTAAGGCGATTTTAGCCGTCGGCGAATTGGCCGAAAATTAATAACTGAAAAACAGCAAAATGGCCATAAATATATATGTCTAGGCGAAGCTGAAGGGGAAGAGCGAGAGAGAGAGAAAGAGAGAAAGAGAGAGTGCAATTGGCTTTGAATACAGACAATAAATCGCTTGTACCCAAACATAAATTTACATTTTTGATGATAATTCTCCCGTAGCACCGGCACACAACAAGACCACCCCAGACGGTAAATTAATGTGGAAAGTGAAAACATAAGTCAACACGGCTCAAGATGAGGGACTCGAGTAGAGTGCTGCTAGAGAACTGTCGCATCTTGGCGCCGGGGTTGACAATGCCAATGTTTAACCAATTAACGAGGGGGTTGCTCCCCCCCCTTTTCTAAGTTGTTTGTGTGAATATTTTTTGGAGGGTGTTAATTTCAGTCAATTCATTTAAAGCGCACGACTCTAATGTAGCCATAAAAAAAAGCCACAGCAGACAGCGCCAAATATCAAACTGTAATCAAATTGCACACGCC